GGACGTTGGTTGTATTGTGACACTCTTGTTTCTATATTTTTGAAAATGTGTATGATAAAGAAGAAAAAATAAAAAAATAAAAAAAATAACGATCGAAGAAGGACCATCAGTGTTTTTAGTCAATTAATTAAACGAAATTGATAAATGTTGAATTGAAACGATAAATTAGAATTCGATGATATTAAAGTGAATATGATTGATCGTCGAAATGAACATCCCTATTTTCCCGTTAACAATTTCAAATGTACAAAGGGCGAAACGAAAAGAGTGAAGGTTAAAGGTACAAAGGAAAAAAAAAAAAAAAAAAAAAAAAAAAACAAACAAAAAAGAAAAACAAAATCAAATAAAACAAAATAAAATAAAAATAAAAAAGAAAAAGAAAAAGAAAAACAAAAGAATCCTCGAACGCATATATGTAAATAATATTGTATACCCAAGTCGTTCCCTCGTGAACCCCCTTCTTTTTTTTTTTTTTGTCGAGAGTAACGCGCGAGAGGAAATGACTAAAAGAGGAACCCTGAAGATTTAAATCCGTTATTTCGGCAATCGGATATCGACGAGTAGAAATAAATTCTACGGATGGCCGCACTATAATCGTCTCTATAATCGTCATTTCGCTTGTAACTCCGCTGCCTGTTCCTCTTCCTCCTTCGTTAACGGCACGGTCGAATGATTGTACAATCCCTGGGCCATAAGCTGCAATGCCAATGGATTTTTCTGTCCGCTGGCCTTTTTAATCTTTGCCCTTTTATTCTGGAACCAAATTTTTATTTGCGCCTCGTTCAATCCCAAATCCCTCGATAGTTGTTGCCTACGGCGTTCTGTCAGGTAACGATTCTCAGCGAATTCTCGTTTCAATCTTGCCAATTGTTCACCACTGAATGCCGTTCTAGGTCGTTTCTCCTCGGGCGTAGTACCGCTTCCACGTGAATCACCTGTCCTCTTCACTCTCCGCGTACGTGGACCTGAAATCACACGTGACGGTTCTAGCGTTAACTCGTATCTGTCGATTTACTTATACGTCGAATTAATATCTTACCCTCTGATCCAATACCGTCTACGTACTATATTATAATGAACTGAAATATTTCATTATCTTTAGATTTATTTATTTACACTTGGCCTATGTGTATACGTGTATACGTTAGTCTCCATGTATATGTACTTTTTCTATATATGTCTTTCAAATATTCAATTTCTTTCATCTATGTTTACATTTTTCTTACGCTATATCGTTTACCTTTTACGTTTACGTCTGTATTTACGTTCTTTCTATTTATATCGTTGATCGTTCTAATAACGCGTTAAACGTTCACGTGCTTCTGTTTATCTATTACATCTTCATTTATCGAAATTACAACAATCGAATATTATCGAACGAAATTTCATTTACAGACTTTATAGAAATACGTACAAAATATAATTACATGTTATTACGAAGCTTCGCGATGAATGAAACGACATGTTTTAGTCTTTTTCTTTATTTTACGATGTTATAACGAAATTATAGCTCGTCGGTACGTGCAAGTAAACAAGAAAGAAAAAAAAAACAAAAAAAAAAAAAGAGAGAGAGAAAAGAAAAAAAAGAAAAAAAGAAAAAAAGAAAAAAAGAAAAAATTAAGTTCGATAAAAATATCAGAATTTCTAACAAATCACTATTATTATTATATTACATTACATTACATGAATATAAATATTTTTTTTTTTCTTTTTTTCAGTTCCTTCTCTCTTCTAAATACATGCATAATAATACGTATATTACGAGTGAACTCGTATCTATAAACAATCAGACAATTGAAACCTAGTTTGCGTGTTTACGAACGAACGAATAAGGTACAATTACGAGACGAAAGCGGTACTCTATGTAATTCTAATGAGTATCATGAGTTGCCGATAAACACGTCGCTCTCGATAGGTTGACATTTAGTACTGTTCGACGATGTATTAATTCCCACACGGATTCGACGATCAATCGTAGTAGTAAAGTAGTTGAAAAAAATCTCTATAAGAATAAAATACCCAAAGGTATTGCGTTTAAAAGTCAAAGATAACCTGTGTGCAGTTAAATATATATATATATATATATATATATATATGTATATATATATATATATATATATATACACATACGTGTAACGTATGTAATATACCTTTCGAAGAGTAGACGAGAGACAACAGAAGGAGAAGACGTAAAACGACGTTTACGTAAGAAGGATCCGTAATAGTTTAAGCGATAGCTTAGACGAAGTTGAACGTTGATTCCACGGGTTTACGTTGGCAGTAAATATGAGAAATTAACGAAGCTACTACCACAAGGATCATCGGTATGTTTGACTCGGGAGTGTCAAATTTTACGACAACTTTTATTGTCTAGTTACTTTCAGACATACGCGTTAGAGCTTCCTTTAACGAGACTCCGTGTTTCTGAGTTTGCGACTATGAGAATGAGAGAACGAGAGAATGAGATAGAAAGAGAAAGAGAATGAGAGAAGTTGGGAGGAGCTCAGAGGTCGGTTAAATAAACGTCCGTTACGATGGAAGGAATCTCTTCTAGCGAAAGAGGTAAATCCTTCCGTCTCGATTCTTCCTGCTTTATCGTCGTCGTTCCCTATCGAACGCAAAGATGCGAGAAGAAGAAGGAAGAAGAAGAAGAAGAAGGAAGAGGTGGAAGAGAAGAAGAAGGAAGAGGAAGAAGCGAAGAAGGTGTAAGAGGTGGTGGTTGAGAAGTAGGATGAGAGGAGGAAGCGAAGGACCTGCCACAAACGACTCTATCGTAAATCAAGTCGTATTATTATTGCCGGCAGTACGAGTATCTCTTAAAGTCGATTCCTCTACACAGAGAGAGAGAGAGAGAGAGAGAGAGAGAGAACAACCATGGACACCCAACGCTCGTACTTACTTACTTTCGACGCAAATATATCCTAGTTGTGCGTTTCTACTCTCGTAGAAACCCCTCTGTGTTTCCTCCTTTCCTTTTCTCATGTACCACGAGACATAGACCATTTAGGTATAGGAAAATTACTCTTGAGCATTGCTATACAACTGTTTTCTTTTTTCTTTTTTTTCCACGTTAATTTTTCTCTTCTTCATTCTTCTTTCTCTCTTTTTTTTTAATTTGCTACGTCTTTTCGAATTTCGACGATGACATCATAACGATCGATAATCGATTGAGAAACAATCAAATATTCACGATGAATTATGACTACTGAAAAGTTTTCTCTTTTTCTTTCTTCCTTTAATTTTTTTCTTTTTTCTTTTATAATTTTAAAATAATTTCGAAAATTTTCTCATTCATTTATTATTACATATAGACCTGATTGTAATTATTGTACAATTCATTTTTCTAACGTGTCGTAATCATGTAATCATTTCTATTCTTTTTCTTTTTTCTTTTCGTTTTTTCTTTCTTTCTTTTTTTTTTTTTTTTTTCTTTTTCGTTGTCGTTCAAGTACGTACATGCACACTGTCGTATATAATAAGAATGCAATTATTTAATTAATAGAAACGTTATTAACTACACGCAAATAGTGATCGTGTACGTAGTACGAGGCACAAAATTTTATTATGTTAATGAGAAGGAAAAAAAGAAAAAAAAAAAAAAAAAAAAAAAAAAATGAAAAGAGAGAAAGAAAAACAATCACGCGAGAACAAACACTGGTTCCTTTTTATTCTTCTTCTCTTATCTTTATTTCTTTTTTCCTTGCGTTCGTTCGTTCCTTTTTTTCTTTTTCTTTTTTTTTTCTTTTTTTCCTTCTCCTTTTATCCTTTTCTCGTTTAACAGAAAATATCGTAGTTAAAATCTTATTGGCTAACACGTTATAATTCCTATCGAAACTAAGCGATCTTGTTTTCCACGTCCCGCCGCTCGAATACTCCTCCATCATGGCGATCCCCCTAACGCTAATAATTCACGGTGTAAACACGCCGTGCCGATCGGTTTGCTCTCTTGAGTATAGAACGTTGCGTTTTGCGGTACTCACGGCAGTCGGTCTATCTCGTTCTGGTAATTGCGAATAAATCATATCGTAACGATCAACACCGGGTATTATCGATTGCTACGATCCGGCACGTCGAGAAAAGATTACGTAGAACCTTCTCGTGAATATCGTTTTACAAAAGAGAAAGAAAGATAGATAGGTAAGATTGGTAGATAGGTAGATAAGTAGAAAGAGAGAGAGAGAGAGAAAGAGAAAGGGAGAGAGAGAGAGAGAGAGAGAGAGAGAGAGATATGTTCAAGGCAAAGTTCAGTATACGATGATGAAAGGGAGAGGATCATCTTCATCCTATTTGATATCAGTAAATAGAAGTAAAGCTTTTCGAACGTTTACGAACTAAAAACTAAAACCTTTTCCCTATCGATTTGCACAAATCATTCTGAGAAAGCTAAGAAATTGATAATAAAATGAATGAATCTAATAGAATCGAATAGAATTGAATTTTGTTGATTGAAGTTGGTAATAAAGAAAGTGCATTCGTTGAAATCCTTTCTTCTTATAGACAAGTATACGTAGATAAATCTCTTTACAGGGGGAGGAGGGGGGGCGGAGGGGGAGGGGAGGGGGGAAAGAGAAGATATTGTTACATTTGTTTCTTTTTTCTTTTTCTTTCCTTTTTTTTTCTTCTTTCTTTTTTCTTTCCTTTTTTTTCTATTTTTTCTTTTTTTTTTCTTTTTTCATTTTTCCAACTCAATGATAACGCGACTATAATAAATATCATAATCGATATCAAAGAAATTAGACCGTTAAACGTGACCGTGGAAAATTTGTTACGTACACATTTATTACGTTACGTGTTTCTTCTTATCGAGGAAAGGAAAAAAAGAAGAAGAAGAAGAAGAAGAAAAAAAAAACAAGAAGAAGAAAAGGAAAAAAGAAAAAAATGTTAAACCACGCTAATCATGCTCAAAGTAAAATAACGAACGATCCTGATAATTCGATCCTCGAGAACGAGATTCATTCCTGTCGATCGAGATCGATTGGGTTTCTAATAGGAGGAAGAGAGGTAGCAAATGAGGGATCACGAGGAACACACCAGGAGGATCCAAGGAGTTACAAGCAATGGTAGCAACATATCAACCCCCTTGGCAGTTTCTACGGTGGAATGACTGAACTAACGAACAGTCGGCAGTCTAATTACTTAAGCGAAGTAGTCTCTAGTTGTCGGTAGCTGGAAAGGAACATCAACGCGTCGAGGACGTGAGAGAGTGAGAGTGAGAGTGAGAGAAAGATAGAGAGAAAGATAGATAGATAGATAGAAAGAGAGAGAGAGAGAGAGAGAGAACGAGTTCTATCCTTCTTGCTTTTCCTACCCTCTTCCTTCTCCTTCTCCTCCTCCTCCTCCTCCTCCCAATCTCCTGCCGCCTTAACGCAGTACCGTCCTTCTCTACTCTTCTCTTCTTCTCTCTTCTTCTCTTTCTAACGCCCTATCGTTTAAGGAACAAACGGAGACGAGGGAGAGAGTAAAACCAATAACGCTAAGATACCCTCCCCTCTTCGGTAGCACTTTGCACCACTCGACTCCAACCTCGAAAGTACCTCGCATACCAACGACGAGGAGAAATACTAATTTCCTTCTGGAATAACTCTCTCTATCTCGCTCTCTCTCTCTCTCTCTTTCATACACTCACACACACACTTTCTCTCTCTCTCTCTCTCTCTCTCTCTCTCTTTTTCTCTCTCTTTCTTTTCCTTGTTTCTCTCACTCTACTCGACTTCTCGAGTTAGACGTCAATCGAACTTCACTAGATAGTTGAACTATTAATTTTGTTTTTTTTTTTTCCTTGACGATAGAAAAATTGTATTTTATAATTTCTTTTTAGTCGATCATTTTTTTCTTCATCGAAAAAAAACTTCATCTTTGTTGACCTTCACCATTCTTCTCTTTTCTCTCTCTCTCTCACTCTCTCTCTCCTTTTGTTTTTTTTTGTTTTTTTTTTTTTTTTTTTTCTTATTAATCGATCATCTTCTCCTTCATCGATAAACAAATTTATCTTTTTCTTTATTTTCTCTTTCTTTTATTTATTTTCTTTTTTCCGTCCCTTTCTTTCCTTTTCTTTTTTTTTTCTTTTCTTCTTACCTTTTAATTCTACCAATTGACTTATTTTTCCCTTTTATAAAGCTTTCGTGAAAGCTTTTTTTCGTTTTGGCTTTTAATTTCTCTCCTTTTTTTCCTTCGCTTCTTTTTTTTCTCTTCCTCTTCGTTTTTCCTTTTTCTTTTTCTTTTTCTTTTTTTTGCTTACAACGATCAAATATCTTTTATCCGACGAATGAAAGAAGAATTTCAGGTGAATATCGTGGAATTAAAAGTTTCGTTTAGATTTCCTGTAAGAACTCTAGCTGCGAGTCTCGCGAACGAGTTGACTTTTTCGCTCCCTCGTCACGTCGCTTTCTTCTAATTGCCCTTTCACCGTTGGTCGTCGTTGTCGCTGTCGTCGTCGTTGTCGTTGTTGTCGTCGTCGTCGTAGTCGTAGTCGTCGTAGTCGTAGTCGTCGTAGTCGTAGTCGTCGTAGTCACTGGCTTTTAATTACCTTTTCCCGCCCGTCGAGATGAAAACGTAAGGAACGGGAAGTATTGTCCGAGATTGATGACGACGATTTGTCGTAAAGCGATGTTAGAACGGGATCGTATGCGATGAAAGAAAAAAGAAAAAAAAAAAGAAAAAAAAGAAAAAAAAAAGAGAAAAGAAAATGAGGGGAAAAAGGAAAAAAGAAAAAAAAAAAGAAAGAGAACGTAGAACGTGAATTAAAAGAAATTAAGCGGGACAACGTCAACGATTAGGTGAGTTTCTAGTTAGCGCGTGCTTCTCAAGATTCTCTCTTTATCGCTCTATCTCTGTCTCTCTCTCTCTCTCTCTCTCTCTCTCTCTCTCTTTCTCTCTCTCTCTCTCTCTCTCTCTCTCCTTCTATTTTCTTTCGAAGAGAAGCGATTGACTTTTTTTTCCAGTCGTTAGAATACTCGATCGATTTAACTCGATGGATCTTTAAAGTACCAATACCGATACCGATACGAGATGGAAGAAAAGGAAAGAAAAGAAAAGAAAAGAAAAGAAAGAAAGAAATAAATAGCGTCCATTGCGATAGATCGACTTGGCAAAAAAGTATTCTTAAATAGGAATACACGGAGTATTTCTCTTAGGAGGTGAAGGTGATTAGAAATGTTTTACGATCGAGGGAGAGAAGCTGTAGTGGATTCAAGGATTGGCTATGAAAGAAACATTTAAAGATTCCCTTTTGGAACAACAATGATTTGTCATATTTTCGATTTTATTATCGAAAATCATATATTTATATCTAAATATATATATATATATATATATATATATATATATATATATGATATAATAAATATATATTAAAAATGAAAAGTATCTCGTATTATGTTTTTTGTCTGATCATACATATATATATATATATATCTAATAATTTTTATTCGTACATTTTTATCAATGACGAAAATATAAATATGATTATCATTCGAATAAGACCATAGGATAAATTAGATT